ATATTTTTAGCTTCAAATTAAATGAGCAGGTAAGGTTTCACTGCTGACAGACTCGCTGATAGATGCAGGAATCAAACTGGACTGAGCCATCACCACCTTCGGCTGCCACTCAGCCATCACACTGTCACAGCTACAGGTGGTCAAATGAGCAGAGACGTAACTGTCCCACCACCAGAGCTGCAGTTCAGGCTGCAGCTCGGCCGTCTGGGTGCCAGGCTGTCACAGTGCTGCGGGATAATGAAGAGGCGTGCAGTAGCCAGACAGCTGCTGGGATGCTAATTAGGAGACAGGAATCAGAGGAAAGAGCAGGGACAAAAAAGAGCCATGGCCTGTAATTAATGGCTTAACAAGGCAATGCTTAATATAGAGGAGAGCTGAAAACAGGCTGCATGACCCTGAAGAGGGTGGGGAAAGGAGACACGGTGCTGGAAGAGCACAAATAAACTACTTGTCAATCACAAGTCAGAGCTCTGTGCGGGAAAGTGGCAGCTGTGACTTTTTTTTGGAGTTTACCATCTGAGAAAAGCTGAGCATTATCACAAGTCACCTGCCAATCAGCCTTTCACTGCCCCATTTCTTCTTGATTAATGGGATTTAATTTCATTCATGATTCTACCAGGTTGATAACAGCAGCTCCCAGTTCCCAGAGAGTACTGGAACAACCATCTTAGCAACAATAAAAACAGCTGAATCTGTTGTGTGACTGGTTGATTACGCTCATCCATGACCTAAGGATGACGAGAGGTGTTTTGTACATCCATCCATTGCTTTTGGGCACATTACTTTACGCTCAGCACAAACATTTGGGGTTGCCAGAGGAGGATTTGTTTATGTTAGTGACCTCATTTTTGCTTTGGCACCACCAGTTCAAACTTTTTACTGCAAAGTATCTCAAATATGGTTATTAAATATTTCCTAACCTTACTGCCTATTTCTCAGCCCCACATGCACTAAATTCCACCGTGGATGGTTGATGGACCTTCTATTTTGAGCTTCAAGATATACACAACCTGGTCAGCAGGCAGCCTCAAAATCATCACACAATATTTCGGTTCTTTTGAGGACAAACTGTGTTGATTGTAATGGCGCTGTGATCTTTCCCTTTGCACCGCCATCATAAGACTCTGCTGTTCTGTGTGGTTCAATCCGTCCTGCGCTTTCACTCTGCGGCCTGTAACGGGGCTGTGGACTATTAGTCACACTGATATATGATCCAAAGAACTTCGCACTAGCTGCTTCTACACAAATCAGCAAAAAATGTTAAAAACTTGATGCAGCAAAATGTCATTAGAACCAACACGTACAAGCAGCCAGTCTGAACTTGATGTGTTGCACAAATCCCCATTGAAATGCCAGACAATGTGGGACAAACACCGTGACCTGATCACAAAGAGTAAAGGAGCAAATGGGGGGGGAGAAATTGTTTCATCAGGAGGAGAAAGAAGAATGTGCATGTTTTTATTTTCATATAACACAGTGTTTAAAACATGGCAGAGGAGTGAGCCTTACCACTGCTGTGTGTGCCATTGTCCCTGTCCCACGCCTCCACTATCACAGTGTACGCTCGCTGAAAGAGAGAGAGGAAGGGGCACAGGTTATCACAGTGCACGTTAAAACAGAAACACAGCACACACACCTGCTGAAACTCAGATATGCCAACGTCAAGACGTAGACACACACTAGATGGGGAGTTTACACAGAAACTCAGATATGAGCCGCCGTCACTTATAAACAATCACATGACTACTTTCAAACACACACACACACATATTTGGCATAAAAAGGTGAATAACGGTGGGAAAACCAGGCCTGTTCCCACACTGCTGTCACTGATTAGCTTCCATCTGCCCCAGGCTAGTTAACGAGTGCAGCCACAGTTCTGTCAATGAACCAAACAGTCACCTGGAAACCACCGACACACGTTTTCATATTCTGAGCTGCAGTACCATGATCATCTGCTGCTGCCCTTGTCACTTCTGGCTCAGGAGGAGTTCTTGTCTCTGTCACCTCCTCGGTGACACTGTATTGATCCCCGACACTGGTGCTTTAGT